GGAGGGAGGGAGGAGAGAGAGAGAGAGAGAGCGAGAACTCACGCCACCGTCTCAATGCGATGCTTAAGGTTCCCATTTATTTCCGGCAAAGATGTCACACAGGATTCGTACCGCCGCGTTCTCTCCCGGAATTCCAGCCAGATAAACGTCGCAGACTCGGATTCGCTGGTAATCGACACTGACATCGACACTGACGGCGTCGCGTCGAAATATTAAATGCCGAGTATTATTTGTTTTGATCCGATTAGAAGGCGTGCCAAGCTGCCGCAGATGTCTATGCGACGTGACGTTCAAAGCGATCTCACGATCTTAGTAATTATACAAAGCTCTATGCTTTGCTGATGAATGCAAATATAAGATACTACTGTAACATTCAATATATATGTATGTATATATTTTTATTTTACAATGTTTAATACATTTCTTGTATATACATTTGAAAAAATAAATTAAATACTAAATTAATACTAAATTAAAAATAACATGTGATATCTAATCTAATACTAAATAATTTTAAATAATTTTTAAATATCACATAATTTTTAATCATCACAGATCATTAATTCATACATTTGCATTTATTTATTAATTTTTCTTAAAAATACGTAAAATTATGTTAAATCACGCTTTAAATATAAAGCTAAATTATTTAAATTAATTTCGGCAACTTTAAACGTCAAGCACTCAAAATCTTATTTACTATTACCAATTTAATATTACCAATTTATAAACAACTACGTTTAATATCTTCAAAGTGATACTATTAAAGGGATTATATCCTCGTCGGATCGACCTGTTCGAGTTATGTGTCTCGAAGGTAAGGGTCTAGGATCGTTCGGATGAATAAATAAAGCCTCGATGTTCTCTCTCTTTCTCCCTCCCTCAGTAATTTATCGGTGTGCTATCGAGCGTTCGATCTGAGACGCAGCAGTGGAGATGTCACGCAAAATGGAAGATGTTGTATTGGACCGTATTGAGAACGGTAATTTAAGTGGCATCGGCAGCGAGAACGCTGGAAATATTTTCGGCTGGAATATCAGGTTGTGGTGCTGAATGATAAAGCGCGCAGAAATTGAGTTAAGCGTATTAACCAAGCGTGCATACGTAATGTAGTTAAAAAAGAAAAACGGATGAGTTTAATTTACAATTTGCCAGCGCGAACGAATGAAAACATAACGGCGGCTGCTGTCATTAATTATGAGAAATCGATGGAGCTTTGCCACGATTTTTCTAATTTATTATTAGTGGATTTAACTTCACTTAAATTTACGATGAGCTTCCCGACTATGCTCCCGATTCGACGTGTTTTACGATCGAAGATTTATGCTCGCTTCTGTCGAAGGCCGCGCGCGTGCTCATTTAGATATCGGCAATCAATCTTTTTATATCGCGAGAATTTTCGATGCGAAATTAAGCATATTCGGCCAGGAAAAGGGAAAGGGATGAAAAGAGAGAGAGAAAGGAAGGGGATACGAGAGGAAAACACGTCGAATCTCGCTCGGTTATGGTTTGATATATCGTCCAGTTACACGCACTAGGTGGACTTGCTGGGCTTAATGTGATTTACAGGAGAGACAGAAGTTTCGAGCGATGGACCGTATGTTTCAAAAGCCCCGGGAAATTATTGGATACGTGACAACTCGGGTTACTTTGGGCACGTCCAGAAGCGAAATTGACATCAGCGAGGACGAGCAAGGATAAAGTCGTAAAACGATATGACTCGTTACCGCGTCTCTCCACTCCGCCTGACGTGTAACAACTTACAAGCAATAAAC